ATAGTTTCCGATTGGCGACGCGCGTCACGTGATTGTACGGCGGCTCCGCATTGGTCGCCCGTGCGGTCGCTTGTAGCAATCGGCACAAATGTCGTCTGCTCTACACGCTGACAGCGCTCACGGGCCGCTTATTGCATTTGTTTTCAACTCGTCGCGGCGTGGTTTCGTGCGGTCGCTTGTAGCAATCGACGCAAAAATCGTCTGCTCTACGCGCTGACAGCGCTGACGGGCCGCTTACTGCATTTGGTTTCAACTCGTCGCGGCGTGGTTTCGAGATCGCATCGCGCTGCGATAAGACCGGCGCTCGTGAAAGGAGAAAAACATTGTTATCCAGTTTGGCGCATTGCAGTTTTGAGATCGGTTCCCGCATGCGATCATGGACCGGCGATCGTTCAAGAAGAAACGCAAGACTGCGCAGCAATTTGGTGCTCGTAAGCCGAAGCCGCCGATCGTGAAAAAGAAATTCAGTTCGGCAACTTCTGCGAGCAGCGACGACGGCGTGCGGCACGACGAGGACTCGGAGCCGAGCACAAGCACGCACGGAGCATCGTCCGCGAGCATCGACGAAACTGTTCATATGCCTGTGGAGCAGTGCTTTGTGCTGTCTGAGGAAACATCCGTTCGTCGTTCCGCGCAGGCTGCAGACATCGCGGATGCTAAGCCTAGCACTTCGCGCGAGGATGTATTCATCGCGGATCCCCAGCCAAGCACTTCGCGCGAGGATGTAGACGCCGCGGATGCTAAGCCTAGCAGTTCGCGCAAGGATGTAGACATTGCGGATGCTCAGCCAAGTACTTCGCGCGAGGATGCGAGGCCGTCTACCAGCACCACCAGTAGCACGATTCGGACACTAAGGACCGCACTGCAAAGGACACTAAGGACTACAACCCTGGTGCCTATTAGGCATGTAAACCGTGACTCAAGACTTTGAACCTCGTTTTCTCAATACTGTTTTTTTGGCATGTTGCTCAGCTCGTGGAGCAGATATCTTTGCAACTACTTGACAGATTTTGATTCTGTTTTTTTTTTTGTAATGCTCCGTGAACTGTGCTTCAGGGGGCTGCGTTTTTATTTTTAAAATTTAGCCTTTTAAAAATTTTTGGTAGGGTTTCTTGTTTGTAGTGCAAATGTGCTCATTGAAGTATCAGTGGAAAAAACATGAACTACAAACTTTAGTGTTGCAAAAAAATTATTTTGAAAACGCAGCCCCCTAGAGCATACATTCACCTCTGCACAGAGTGTTTACCAACTTTCTATGTCATTTTTTAAACTTTCCAGCCGCTCCACGAGGTCCAGTAATGAAATTATTTGTTTCTCAGAAAGTTTTCATGATATCATCTTGAAATTTTTATGGAAGCATTATGAGGTCATTTTTAGTCTTTGTGCCAATTTTCATCAAGATCTAACCTGAAACAAGAAAGTTCATTCCGAAAGGCACGTCCCCCCTTAAAGCACAGGGACGGTGCCTCCGCCGCCGGGGGTATTCTACGTGCCAGTGCATGGAGCTGAAGAAGAGAAAGCAGATAGACTGGCACGAGCTAATTTGTGTGGCTGGCGCTGCTCGCCTAACCGGATGTAAATACATCGGTGACTACCCCTCTGAGTCAGTCTCCTTCCCGTAACAATATCATTCCTGCCAAACAGAAAAGCAGGGTCCTTGGCTTTCTGCTCGATCGTAGGGCCGGACACTGGGACGTTTCGCGACCGATCGTCCATAAACCACTTGTAAACAGCCGCTTCAACATCTTCGTACACAGCAGCGCGCACACGTCGGGCGCCACGGACACCTGGCCTTTTGTCCGACTTGGCCCTGATGTCTGCCTTGTTCTTCAATATAGTACTCAAGGTGCTCCTTGAAATTTTGTACGTGGCGGCGACGTCAGACTTCTTTTCACCGTGCTCAACCTGATTGATGATTTCGAGTTTCGCGGCGAACAGCAAATTTTGCCTCTGCGCAAGCTATGATGGCAGCGCGCCAATACAGTTCACAAAGCACCAACAGGCAACACCACAGACCACGCTGAATCGGCAGCAGTAGGCACACAAGCATAAAGAAAGAAAAAATGACGCTCACTTTTACCCCCTCCGCGCCTCGGAGAAAGCACGACGGCCTCTGATTGGCTGTAAGCGCTGCGAGCGGGCCAGGATCATTTCTTGGAGGGGGGTGTTCGCACGTGCACAAGCCAGTCTAACCAACTTTTTCTAGGGTGGCGCCGGCAGTTTTCTCCGCCACCGCAAGGGAAAGCCAACTTGCTGGGGCACTTCTGAAGCACATGGAGTTTGATATATCAGTTGTCGTTGCTATTTTCCTTCGATCAAACAGTAACTTTTGCTATATATTCTCAATGTAAACTTACCGTGTTTAGGAATTGTTCGATATACGGGATAGTCTGATATAAACCAGTTCGATATAGTCGGGCTTGACTGTAATATTTTGGATAGATTCCAAGGTTTGAACTAGCATGTTAGTGCTAAGATCTCATACAGCTCATTGGCTTGTCTCTCCTTTTGGCCAAGTGCTCCTTCTCATCATGCAAGAAGCAAGAGCAATGAGCACACGTATCTGCGAGCAAACAGGTATTATGCTGCCCCCTATCAACTATGTACAAAAGCAAATGTTTTCGAACATCCCAAGTGAGGAAAATAGGAGAAAAACGGCAGGGAGGTTAACCAGTCTATAGGCAGCGAGTTTGCTACCCTGCACATGGGAGACGGAAGATAGAGGAGAGAGGGAAGAGAAGTAAACACAGCACATTAAGCAGCACACGCGCACTGTCATAGCCCAGTCTTGTGTTTCGTGGCGTGTGACATTGCTGTTACAGCCGCTTGTTCAAGTCCGTGTCGCGTAGGCATTTCAACAGTGCATTTGTCGCCTTCTGTTGCAATGTCTTCCCTCAGACACTTGAAAGATTAGTGTCCACAGACATTTGGCTGTTGTCGATGCGCGCAAGACAGACACCAGTGACTGTCTTTAGATGTCATACAACGGACAGTTGCACAGGATGTGGTTTAGTGTCTCTTCGCAACGACAGGCATCGCAGAGAGTGTTGTCAGCCATTACTATGATAAATGAGTGAGGTAATAAAGACAGCATAGAGAGTGGGACTAGCGAGTAAGTTTTGACTGCTGGGGTCCATTAAAGTGGATATTTACAGATTCCTTCGGTCAACCACGTTTAATCTCAGTGAGAATGCAGCCGCAATGACCCCGCTACGAGGCATGCATTTGCACGTAGCAGTGCCCATTGTGATAGCATTGAAGTGACCGCAACTGTGACTGCAGAATGGTCACTCACCCAACTCATAACACTTTACTAAAAAAAAATTGAAGTGTCTCATTTTAAAGTATTAACCAATTTCTTACGAAGGCTTTGCTATCATTCAGTTGTAAGAGAGCGCGTCGCCAGCAGCTTACACAACTCCACATACAGTGTTGCAGGTCTTCACTATGTTTGTATTTTCATGTGAATTTTGTGTTTCGCAAAAGAGTCTTGTTACAGAGAGCCCAGTTTGTCCACTAATAAACGAAGCACGCACAGTCGCAGAGTTTTTTCATTCAGGCTTGCACATCCACCAAGGGAGCGCCTGATGTTTACGGACAGGTGACCCTCTTCCAGGGATCGCCCCTGTGATCCACACGGTAGCATGACAGTCTACGGGAATTTCAAGTAGTACTACATGACTGCTCGCAGCGTGTTTAGGTGCATGGCACTAGCTACAGCAACTGGCAAGATAATACAGTGGCGTGCTTCCAACTTCTAACCCTTTAAGGAGTATACTGTGTCATGAATGCACTTCACCAAAATTTAAGCCAGTGAAGCAGTCGCACTGTCTAAAGCCATCCCATCCCACGAAAATCCAGTTTCGCACCAAGTAAAAGGCTTGCAAGAGAATTTGCAAAATACAGTCAACGTCCCATTTCTCGGACGCCCGAAATTACAGACATGCCCAATTTGCCGGACTCATCTGTGGCACTGTCAAGTTGCCCCATAGACTCAATGTATCAAAGAGTCCAAAATTCTGGATGTTTATAGCTCCTGCCATCCAATTTTTCAAACTTTTTATTGCTAACCGCAGACTCGAAGTCACTATTAACGCCACCACTTTGGTTGTTTTCGGACACATGAACTCATCGCGCCGTAGCTACCGTACCCTCGAAACCGAAACTGCCACAATCCAGGGCACACGAGTCTGGCCGTAGCTTAGGCCGCACGGTGCTGTGCAGCTTGTGCTCAGACAGTGGCACAAGCTGTGCTGTTGACCTTTGGTCTGCCGTCAGCATGCTTGCAGACTCGTGGAAGGCTGTTACGCAACAGACTCTCAGGAATCGTTTTCGCTACACGAGCTTCATACTGGAAGCTGAGACGGCCGTCCCACCCAGATTGGACATGGTGTGCAACAAAGTTCTACCCGTGAACATTGCCTTCGACGATCTGCACGTTGTCGTTGTTTCGATTCCAGCCAGGATAACCCTTGAGGGCTTCATAGACACTGACAAAGACATCGAGCTGTGCGCGGAATTGCCCGATGATGAAATTATTCGTCACATTACCGAGGATTCCGATGACTGCGACACCGAGATAAAAAAGGCAGCACCTACACAGCCAAAGAGTTCGGAGCTGACGAGCACTGACACTGTCAATCGTGTAAAGCGACAGCATGACGTTAACTGAAATTGAGGCAGATATCATCGCGGGCAAGTGGAACATCGTGCAAACAAAAATAAGCGACTTTTCTTTTTCTGCCCAAGTGTTTACAAATGTGGTAGCACTGGCCACATTGGGTTTTATACTTTGGCTCTTTTCACAGCCACCTAAATGATGTATTTCTTGAACACAGTACGTCACTGTCGAGACCCCCTCCGTCAGCGAAAAATACTCCTCAAAGAGTGCTTTTTCGCCTGCATTTGTTTTTTCGAACTGCCCGATCTTCCGGACGTTTTCGAAGTCCCTTGAGGGTACGAGAAGTCGGACATCGACCTACTTAACGGCCGAGTCTTACCTGCGAAACTTCTTTGCGGACTTTTTGACGCTTGCTGCAGAGGACGATGACGGTGTCGCTACGCCCCTCTGGTGATGGTGGTGCTGGGAAGCCATGGAGGAGGCAGGCAGGCTCCCCTTGTGTGACCTGGCACCTGCATGTCACATGGAACACCGAATGTCCACCTGGTTGCAGTAGTTTTTTACATTGATCCATTGAAAGGTTAAGCCTTTGCGGCCCAAAACCTTTTGCCCCCTTCTGTCTACTTTGGTCGAAAACTTAGAGACTCAAAAACTCGAGCAAAAGAAGTTTGCCAGCTATCTTATAGATGGCACATGATGTAATGGGAGTATGTGAGCATCATTCTATTGTAGAATGACTTGTTTAGAACTGCCTGGCCAAGCACCCCAGCAGCCATATTGTGTTGCTGGGCAAGGGTTGACAACTGATCGCAACGGGTTAAGCTTCCACAGTTTTCATTACGACTTCTACACAAAAGAGACCCAAGCGCAGCAAGCACTTCTACATGATGAGCTACAGCATAAGCTGTCGGCGCACATCTACAACAGGAGATTTTCCTAATCCACAGGTGCGCTTCTCTGCTATGCACTTTGTCTTACCAATGGGAGGTAGCCTCTTTCTAAATACAGTAGACTCTTAAGAAACGGAAATCTGTTAAACGGAACTACTGCTTAAACAAAAATATGGCCCCTGCAACACTTGGTTTCGGGCTTGTGTTCTGCACCTACGCTCACCTCTCAGTAAACGGAACTCTTGTTAAATGAAACATATTTTCCCTGTCCCATCAGGTTCCGTTCACTGAGAGTCTGCTGTACAATGTATTCGAGCACAATTTCCTTGCGCCATGACGTGTAAAATGTTCCCTAGGCTGTCTCGATATAGACACGGATAATAGCAAGCCCCAGCATGTGCAACTAAGACCTCATTTCCCCTTGAAGCACCACCGGTGCTGCCATTAGTAGGGTGAATATGCATCTCAGAACAGCGCACTTGCTGATTAGGAAAATCTTCTATAGCTTACCATAAATACGGCAAGTTTTACCAGACAGACTAAAACCATATAATATTCTCTGAGACTGCATCAATTCTGTCATACAAAAAATAAAAGCCGTACATACAATCAAAGCCACAGCCGCCACATTTCAATAGCGGTAATATGCGGCTAAGCCTACGTATTTAAGGCTATGAGCCCATTATAGGGGTCCTTAACCATCCTTCAGGCTTGGTGAAAATACACATTTTACAGGTAACGAGCGCTGCTGCAAAGAACCAGGCCAAAGTGAGTAAGCTTCAAGCTGGGATTTTCCTCACGAATGTTCAACATACCATAACATTTATTCGAATGGCTTTAGAAAATCTACATGCAATGTGCACAGTTCTGATTCCAGAATATTGTAGCATGCTGATTTACCTAGTAGCACTGAGTTTAGCCCCAAAATGCCCATATTTTGTATTTTAAAAAGTACACATTATACTAGAAAATTATTGCATATTTAAAAACTGCAAACTGACATACATCAACTCAGGAAGTTTCATCAAGATCAATCATGAAGTAATTTTTTTTAACCCCGCCCATAACCACACGTGCGCTATCTGCTACAGTGAAACCTCGTTAAACCGTACCCGCAAAAACAGTAGTTTCGTTTTAAAAGTAGTGAAGTGAAATCCCCGACTCGGCGGCCATTGAACATAATGCATTTTGTATCCGCATAAGCCGTACCAGCTTATCGTGTATGTATCGTTAATAAGTAGTTTTTCCAATTTTTGTTGCGCACTCGCCGCGGCATGTTGTCTTCCACTGGGCGTCCCAACAGAACAGCAAGCCCCAGAGATCGAAACATGCCTCGCTTGTTTGTGTTTATGATGATGGCCGCTGTGTTGGTGAGCACCATCTCTTGGATTTTTCTGCTACAAGAAGCACTCGGCTGGCTAGGATTCTGGTGTTGTCCACGAGATGGCGCTTTGCACAAGCACGCAAACACGGTGTGCGCTTGCTTTACTTTCTTTGTTCCTTTGGCGCCGTGCATAGGTGTTCTCTGGTTGATCCGTGCTGTACAGCTCTCGCGTCATTTTTCACGTGTTGTGTATGTGTGCTTGTGCTGATTCGTACTTGCGTCATGCCGAAGCTGGGACAAAAGCATCGAGTGCTGAAAATAGAGGAGAAATTGGACATAATTCGTGCTATCGAAAGTGGCACGAAAAAATCGGCGCAGGCACGCGAAAGGGACCTGCCTTTAACCACAATGTATGGAATTTGGAATTCGAGAGAGAAGTTGCTCGGCAGTGCTGCTGCAACTGCGAAAAGATGCCGGCTACGCGGTTCGCCGTTTTCGGATGTAGAGGAGGCGCTGGTGAAGTGGCTAAAAGCTGCACGGTCAAAAAATCTGCCTATCAGTGGACCCCTGCTTGTGGAGAAGGCCCTGGTTTTTGCCTCGCAGCTCAACCATGACAACTTCGTGTGCAGCAATGGCTGGCTGGCCAGATTTAAGGCGAAGCACGGCATTACCACAAGGACTGTTTTGGGAGAAGGTGCTGCTGCTGACGTGGATGGCGAGGAGCAGTGGCAAAATGGTCAGCTGAAGAACATCTTGGAAGACTACGCACCTGATGCCATCTTTAATATGAATGAATTGGCGCTATTCTTTAAGCTGCTACCAGACAAAACGCTCGCGTTCAAAGGCGAGACGTGCACTGGCGACAAGCATGCAAAAGACAGAATATCAGAGGCGTTTTGCGTAAACATGACTGAAACCGACAAAACTCTGCTCCTCGTGATTGGAAAGTCGGCGAAGCCTAGATGTTTCAAAGGCGCCCGGTTGCCATCACGGGGTTATCTATCGCAGCAACACCAAAGCATGGATGACAGCGAAACTCTTTGAGGAGTACGTGCGCCTCATTGATCGTCGTTTTGCGGCTAAGAACAGAAGAGTTGTTATTATTTTAGACAACACTTCGGCACGCGTCGCCCTGGACAACCTGACGGCTGTGAAGTTGGCGTTTCTGCCACCAAACACAACAGCGATTGCCCAGCCCTTGGACCAAAGCATCATTCGAGCTGTAAAACAGCTCTACAAGAAGCAGCAGATTTCTTCTCGCCATTGAATGTGGCAAATTATTCTCCATCGACCTAATTGGCACGATTCACCTGCTCGAATACTCGTGGCGGCAGGTTGAAGCAACAACAGTTCAAAATTGCTTCAAGCGTGCTGGCTTCAGTGTATGTGCGGGCGACGCAGATGACGCCAGTGACACTATCGACCAGACTTCGGACATCTTAGACGAAGCTTGCAAAACTCTGCTAGCTGAAGTGCTGGAGCGGCAGGGCGTTACGAAAGGCATTTCCTTCCCCGACTTCAGAGACGCAGACAGTGATGTGCAGACATCTCTGGACATGTCCGATGAAGCCGTTGTTGCCTCTGTTGTCGAAGTGTCGCCAAATGATAGTGATGAGGACGACATGGAAAGCGACAACACGGGTGATCGAGGTCCGACAGTAGCCGAAGCTGCGCGTTGCGTCAGCGTCATGCGGGTATTTGCCGAGAAGAGGGGGCTGGCGGAAAAGCTGGCTCACAGCATAAGTGAGTTTGAGGCCGCTGTCGTCATCAAATGAAGATTACAGACTTTGTCATGTGAAGTTAACAAATTACTGCACGTTTTTTGTTCTTTCATCGCACTCCCTGAAGGTTTCTTTTTTTGACAGGTAAGTGAGCGACCTGACGCTATTTCGATTAAGCAGTATTACCGTTTAGTACATACTTTTTCTGAGCTCCGGCCAACCACCGTTTAACGAGGTTTCACTGTAGTGGTACACTAAGACAACCATGAGTGAATTGTCTCCAGTGACCCCAACAGCAGCTTGTGTGATCTAGATTTCGTGCAGGACAAAGAGATTGCAAACTTAGTGGAACTGCGTTGACACATCGGGATAATGTTTACATTATTTTATTTATTCAATACTGGCAGCCAGGGCAGGAGTGGTACAGTGCAGATTTTGAACACAAAGTTTACACGTGACCAATAACACGGTGTTTTGCCGGGAGCGACATTCCAGGGCAGCTTAAAATAACAATGGTGGTGCGGTGAGTCTGCTGGGCCCACGGACCTAAAATCCTTTCCACCCGACTACCCAGAGGGACATTTGCAGCCTGTGCTTCCGCCTCTTCCTTTGGGTGGCGCACCGAACAATGGGCCTCGCATCTGGACTTGTGCCAAGAGCACGCTTTCTACATTCCTGGGCCAGCGACCGCGCCTTGGTGCATTGTGTTCGGGGCCTGCAAGGAGCTAGCCGAGCCAGTGGTGCCATATTGCTCTTCCCTGTGCCACCGGGTGTGCGTGTCCTTGCACTTTTCTAGAAACTGGTTTGGCGCACGAGTCTGCAGAGGGTCGGAGTGGAAGAGGACAATCCTATTGGAGGGACCTGAACTGACTTGTCTTCTTTCACAGTGAATCCTGCAAAAGGCAGTGTATAAAAACGCGAGCGCAGAGACGCTCGGGTGTGCTTCATCTGTTCCATGCTGTTCTACACCGGCTCCTCGACTCGTCTTCTCCCAGCACTCGGATGGCTCCAGCTGGGACCACGCTACCCAAGGTACCCACAGTCACGGACATGGCCGCATGTCCCGACACCTCCTTCCTAACAACGGTCCGCGGTACACAGGGAAGCAATAATGCAGTAAGCTTTCAGGTTGTCACGACACACACACAAGCGAGCGCAATCAGTAGCATGGCCCACGATTCGCAAAGCAGTAGTAATTCTCGTAACAAGTAGCTACGTGAATATACAATAAAACCGGCAATGCTAGTCTAATGCAAAACACACAAAGTGCCCTATGTGCATTGACCAGGAAGCGTGTAAAAAAAAAGCAGAGTGCGTTAGTGGCATGGTAGCAAGATAAAGCGTGAAATACGTTAGTTCAACAGAACTGGGGAACAAGACCGCAATGAACAAGAAGTTCATTGCGGTGGAGCAGGCTTGCTCATGCTCAGCGACGAAAACAAAATAAAATATTTTATGGGTGTTGCATGAGTCAGGTGGGTGGAGAGCATTAACACTGCATATCAAGAAAACGAAAAATACCGTATTTACTCGCATAATCCTTGCACTTTTTTTGCCAGAAAACTGATGCAAAGCTGGGGGGTGCGAAAATTATGCGGAGAAAATTTTCCACGAAAACTCAGAGAGCGAAAAAGAAAACGAAGTGGCCGCAAATCGGGATTCTCATGCCAGCAACTTACAGCAAGCTTTAAAAAGTACTAATTAGAGCTTACCTCAACAATAAAAGCAGAGGTTCAACACAAGGCAAGATTTATTTGAGGCACAAAAAGTGGAAGCAAATAGTCGAGAATTAGAATACCATACGCGAAGCTTCTAGGCATTGCGGCCGTAGCGGTAGCGGTCGGCGCTCAACAGGAGCCGTCAAAAAGTTAGCGTAGGACGTTAGTATTGGGCTGATGGCTATTTAACAGAATCGTCTGCAGTTTCCTTCTAAAGAAATAAAGTTTACGATCAATCCCAGTGTTAGGCACACAGCAGGCCAAACGCGTCTTGGTGGCTTTCAGCTGCCGTCAACAGTAGTGAACACAAAACTCGTAGGCTCCAAAGGGCCTACCGGCGGCCCTGTTGCCGTTGTTTAGCGCATGGTCTATCACTTGCAACTTGAAGCAGCCATGTGGCTTCAGTATCGCCCCATAACGTGCCAAGATTACCAGCACAACATACAAAACACGCCGCAACGCGCACTGGTCACTTCGGCTTGGCTTGGATTGGACTGAATCTCCGCGCAATAGTATGCTTGATGCTTAAGGGGTGGCGCCAGATAGAGCGCGCTATCACCATCAGTGGCTGGAACGAGCAGACGACATTATTGCGGGAGTTTTTGGGGGTGCGATAAATACTCGAGGAAAAAAAAATCGTATTTTTCTTGGGCGATGTGGGGGGTGCGAGAATTATGCGAGTGCGAGGATTATGCGAGTAAATACGGTATTCCTTTTTTAGTGTCTTAAAACCATGTCAGTAAACATTTAGGTGTTGCTTGTGCCTTCCTGATCACAGACTTAACAATAATGGCATATGGCGTTTTACATCCAGAAACCACAATATAATTATGAGAGACGCCGTAGCAAAGGGCTCCGGAAATTTTGACCGTCTAGTGTTCTTTGGCGCACATTGACATTGCACAGAACACGTGCCTCTACCATATCGCCTCCACTGAAATGAGACCCCTGCTGCTGGGACTGAACTCGTGGCTTTGGGGTCGGCAGCCATGCCGCCTTGCCATTTATCCATCGAGATGGATGGCCATCGCAGACTTAGAGGCGCCAAACAAGAAGTGCAGAAGGTGCAACGCACTTGGGTTTGGCGACTGTGGCCCACCAGGCCCCCCGTTGACCGCGCCACCCGAACTGCTGCTCGAAGTGCTGCTGCTTGAGCCCCCACCGCCAGCCACGGCGGAGCCTCCCTGCGGCGGCAGCAGAGAGGACACAGGCCCGTTCTCCTCGCTACCACTCTGCTGGTTTTGCGACTCGGACTCGCTGTTGGTGCGCTCTGAAAATTAGCAACATGAGGATTAATTACCTAACTAAAATTGAGCTCTACAGATGCAGCGGTCATCCCAAAAGCAATCTTCCAAGGCAAGTAAGAATGAGAGTGGGGCTGGGGTTTTTAGAGGCCACAAACTTACAATGACATTATGATTGGCTAGAGAATGCGTGAAGTTGCTACCAAGGATAGGTACCTTAAAGAGGCCCTGCAACACTTCGCCAAGTGATCATCTAATTGCTTCATTAAAGGACTCTCTGATGCCTTATAAATTAGCTGTCACAAAAATTTTCTTAGAATCAATTAAAGGGACTGTCTACCGCTCGGAAAAAATTTTCTGACTGTGGCGCAAATGAAAAGATCGTTCATCAGATTGGGGGCAACGAGCATGCTTTCGGGCCAGAAACAAATAATTATAATATTTACTTCATGCTAAAAGTCGATAAGAAGTGACCACTAGCGTCACCCAACAGCAAATGTGGTCAATCTTGACAATCTATTGGTAGGATAAAAAATCCTCGCAGGTAAACTTATTTTGCTTAAAAACAAACACATTCAGCTTGAAATTGTATTTTATGCACTTAGGCAGATTTAGGTTGCGCCAGAGACCAATTTTTGCTTTTTTTTTCTCATGTGCTCAAATTGGCGCTCGGTGGCGCTGCCAGCAGTGTGTTCGCTCACCTGCATGCCTGCCAGCAAACCGCGGAGAAACACGACCATGGCATCCGCCGCCGCTCATGAGAACAACAAAAAAGTGTGTGTGCCTAAAACTACCACTAAGATACTTGTTTTATTAATACCCAAACTTGATGAAGCCTGCAAAAACCAGACGCGGTTTCAGTTTTTTACTTTCACAGGCACCGATCAGTATTGTGGGCATTCATCCTACTGATGGAAAGAGACATAATGCGGATACAAAAATTCTGTTTTAAAGATTTCGATGCACTTTTCAGAAAACCGCTGCAAGGTTAGACACTTCACATGGTAGGCTTTTTATTACAAAACAAAACAGGAGAGCAACGAAGGACGGCAGACTGTCCCTTTAAGTAAAAGTGGAATCGCCACATCTGTCGCACCCTTTAAGGGGAGATGCGGGTCGAAAAACACAAGTTTTTTTTTCAAAAATACCGATTTTTGCCGAAGAGTTGAGCCTCACTTTTCAAGCAACAACAGTTTCCCTCGTTGATGCAGTGCAAGAAATAATAAAAAGAAGCACGTTTCTGCACGTTTTTCGAGCACCGCAACTGGCTTATCACGTGGTACAGATCGGGGACCGCCATTGGCCGCTGCGTTCCTGTATGTGCTGTGAAGCCTATTTGCGGGGTCCATGTCTTGTCGGGCAGCGTAGCTGAACAATGCTTTTCTCGTGTAATTATTTCTGTTATGAATGAAAAAAGCATTGCTCGCAAGTGAAAGCCGTTGTGCAGCACGCTCTGTAGGAATAGGCTACAAGCAGCTGGTTCGATTTGCGGCAGTTCTTGGCTTGCAAAAACCAATGCATCAAAAGTCATTCACACCCATCAGCCATAAAGTTCGTGATGCGGCAATAAATGATGTCAGCACCAATCTTGCGAGGTCGAAAGAGCTCGCAGTGAGAGAACTTAGCAGGGAGGACATTGCCATTCTGTACGACGGTATGTGGCACAAACATGGCCTCAAAATGGCATGACACTGGACTTAGTTTGGATTTCGCAGTCTTGTCGAACTTCTTCTTAGCTTGCAGTTGGCACAAGGCTCTGCCAGATGGAGCCAAAGTTTGGCAAGCGTTTTATGGCCCTGTCTGTGAGCGAAATGTCTGTGAGGTGTCGGCTCGACAAAGCCGAGAGAGACAAACTGATGGGGCTGGCGTATTCTAGTCGCAGTGGCCACTACAAGAAAGATTGCTCTTTTTGGTGTACAAATTTTGTCAGATTTAATGACATCTTTCATAAATAAAAACTCAATTTTAACTCAAAAACTCGTTTTTCTGAAAACACAGGTTTTGCTACTTTTTCAATGTGCCCCTCCTTTTTCGGGCACTTCTAGTGCTCGGATCTGGATGAAATTTTGCCGAAATTTTTTCCAAAGTATTGCAAATGCAATTATCTAGTGTAAATTTCAATATTTTGTTTTATAATAAAAAAATTTTACGTAAACCTTTACTAGGGTAGGTGAAATATGAACATTTTTGTCTATTAATTTACATGCCAATTACATATCTTGTATGGCCTCCTAATTAGCTATTTGCATTCTACACTTTATTTCAAACATTATGAACTATGAATGGCAAAAAATTATGGAAGTTTTTGGATGAAAAGAGGGGGGGGGGAATGGTTAAGGTTTTCACTTTGTCATTTAGCACAGCTAAAAGTAAGCAACACTCAAGAAAACTAATTATATATTTGAAATCAGCATAAATAGTTCCATAAACAGCTCAAGTTTCATTGCTCTAGGGTGAATATTAAAAAAAAAAGTGCCTACTAGTAGCACCTCCCCTTAAATACTTTCTGTCTTGTTTCGTATATTAAAAAAAAAAAGTGCCTACTAGTAGCACCTCCCCTTAAATACTTTCTGTCTTGTTTCGTACCAACATGTGTTTCAATAGCTACGTGCAGGGCAAGAAATCATGTGCTGGGCAAGGACGAGGGCGTAAGACGTTACATCTGTATTTGCGTGAGTGTCATAATCTTGAGCACACTGTTTTCTATTTTTCATCGAACGCGTGGTTTACTCTCTATGTGATCGCATGTCATGGCATACCATGGTAGCTGCACCAACTATGCGGCTCGCTAAGCACAAATCAGCCCAGGGCCATGGACTCAATGCTCACAGCACGGTCGTTTCGGTTCATGGCAGCATTTGTCTAAAGAAGAGTGAGCAATTTCTAACTGGCTTTTAGAATTACTCATACATTCTAGGCCGCATGCTGCGCTATACCGTTTAGCTTACGTGTTCTTTGAAATGTTAAAGGGACTGTCTACCACTCTGAAAATTTTTTTCGTCTGTACCGCAAATGAGAAGATCGTTCATCACATCGGCAACAACGGGCATGCTTTTGTCCCATAAAAAAAGGAATTAAAGTCGACAAAAAATTACCGCTAGCATCACCCAACAGTGATGTGGTCACTCTACGGGTAAGACAACAAATCCTAGCAGGTTGACTCTTTTGTTTAAAAACAAACACTTATAACTTGAAATTGTACTTTGTGCGCTTGAGGCAGTTTTAGGTTGCCCCAGAGACTAATTTTTGCTCTTTTTTTTCTCTCACAAGTTCAAAGAGGCGCCCGGTGGTGCTGCCGTCAATGTGTTGGCTAACCTGCATGCCTGCCTGCAAAAAGAGAAACAACGCGAGCACGCCATCTGGCTTCGCTAAAAAAAAAGTGTGTGCGTGACGACCACTAAGGTAAAAACATTGACAAACAAAACTTGATGAAGCCTGCAAGAACCGCACGCAGCTTCAGCTTTTGACCTTTATCGGCAGCACGATTGCCATCACCCCCACCGATTACTGTTGTGGACACTCATCCCACCAATGGAAGGAGACCAAACACAGATAGAAAAATTCTGTTATATAAATTTCTACACACTTTCCTGAGGAACCGCTGCAAGGTTAGGCACTTCAGATGGTACGCTTTTTATTGTGACACAACCAGAAAAGAAGTGAAGGACAATAGACAGTTCCTTTAATATCTGATCGGCAGCGTTTTGTGACCAAGCTGGATAAGTGTTGCAAGGTCCCTTTATAGGTGTTTATGAGAGGCAATTCGGATTGACCATTAACTTTTTCGTTACCGTGCAAAAATAGTTATTTTTCGCGTTTCAGGAAGAGAGTTTTTGCCAGTTTGCGGGGTACTCCAATGAAATGCTTTTTCCAAAAAATACATTCTGTAGAGTAACAAAAATATTTAGAAATGGATAAAAATGTCAATAGAGCGACATTTTTGGTTACCAGCTGGTAAACAGTGCCATAAACAGTGCAAGAGTACTCCAAGCAAAGCAAATTCAAAATATAAATTTTGAAGACCCAGCAACAGTATAAAAAATAATAAATGTTGTACAAAACATTTCTATTCACATAGACAAAGAAAATCAGAACCTAGATGCTGCTTCATTGATGATTCCATGCGGTGAAGCACTGCTTCGTTTTTCGAGAAACAGAAGTGAACTGGTACACTTTTCTCAGTAATTTTTTTTCAATAATAGCCTGCAGGTGCTCCCATATATATGGATGTCTATGTAGTGAATAAGCCTCTACAAATCAGATGCCTAATAAACTTCGCTATTTCATCCTGCGTCACCTCCCTCGGCATAGGTTGGCGTTCCAATATATGCATCCAAGCATATTTCATTGCATTTTTGCAGATCGCATTAAAAAAGAAACCTATCACGCGCACTTATAAAACAATTCGCACTGCTGTTTAGTCGGGGCCAAGATGTGCTCTGGTGGTCTTCTTGACGTGAGGAGAAGCTCTGCAACCAGCACTAGCAAACCGCACCGCAGCAATGTGAGGACCTTGCACATGACCAGAGTAGCTATAATATTGTGCACAAAGGTCAGCAGTTATGCACTTGCAACATGCTGCGGAGCGAACAAGTTGAGGCCACAAACAAAACAAACCAATGAGCGGCTGTGAATGTCTCAAGTTGACCAAAAACACCATCACCATAATACTTGGAGCTGACGTACTGTCATCCTCGGACTCTATCTAAGTTCGTGCTCACTCAATTCAGGTGCAGTTGCAAGACACCTTCGAGAGGCGCGTGCTTTTGCAGCGCAGGTGTGCGCCCAAGTGCACTGCACGCGCCAACGCCATAGGAGCGACTAGTGACATTAGATGCAGCCCTGTGTCTGATATAACAATACAAGCGAAACCAATGCTGCTGGAAACAGGCTGAGAAGGCCACCTCCACACTTTAAACATGCAGACAACCTTCAGAAATTTTTTTTTTTTTGTAGAATATATTTTTCCTGACTCGTACCATAATAGCTCTCTGTTTTATAGCTGGCATAAATTTCTGTCAATCATTACTGCTCAACACTGTCAGATTACAAAGCTGACACATTAATTTAATATTTGACTTGTAGAGATTTTTTTCTTTATTACACAAGTTTGATGTTACGGTAGCATAACCACGAGGGGCACGCGCTTCTGTCAAGTTTGCCAGCTAAGTGCATTTTCCCAACACAGGCACATTGGTTGCTGCGAAAGTCTGTCAAAAATCACTATGTTGCCAAAATGGGCAATATTAAATTAATTTTGAAAGTTGAGTGGCTGGACTAACTACTAGAAACAAATTCAACATGGCAAAATTGTCGATCCGGTGATTGATTTGAATACACATGGTAACGAAGTAGTTCAGTATTACTCCTGGATGCAACCATATGCTGTATTTATAAAACTTGATGTACCATTGCTATCTTTGTTGTACATGATGCAGACATATTACCAACTAAAATCGGCAAATACAGACAGCTGCTTGACCATGTGGTGCATGAGCAGATTGTTCTTTGCCTAACAGGATGACGCTATGCATCAACATTTGTGTCTGGTTCAACCAACTCTTTCATGGCCATGCCAACGAAGACAGATCACTGGTGGAAGATGACTTCCATAGCCTATTCCTACATCTCAGCTATTCCTACACTCAGATCCAAACTCTGACAGAGACAATGTTTGCATGTCAGACCGCAACATCTCCAGCTGTCAACCGGCGACTTTAACTCTTAGCCTTCGAAGACCCTTTCATGTTGCAGACCTATCTGCTTATGTTTGTATATTCTATGTCAGTTAGAGCTATACTCATTATGTATGCAAGATGCATACACTGCAGGGTCCAGACACACTGCCACCGGCAGTAATTTATGTTCATGGCATGTGTGGAGAATATCAGGGCCCGGTGCAATGAAGCTAAGTGTGGACAAAGCCAACAAAAAGCCTCAATGGCAATATGGTTTGTGACCCCAATGTTGGTGCCTTAGCATAAGTGGATTGGGCCTAAAACTTGAGCAACACGCCAGGCGGCACTTCAAATTATGCTGTTATGCTGCTACTCAACAGTGTCCACTAGGCAATAAAATTGTACCACCTTTGAATAGCATTTTATGGCAGTACCTTTTATGTTTTGTACAAGCTTTAGCACAATAAAAATTCAGCTTAATTGGGATTTAATTTTTTTTGTCCTAAGACTTTGAAACAATGACCCTCTACAGTACTTATAACAAACATTCTATATTAATGCTTATTGGTGGTATAATTAGTTCCAATGCATATTGATAGGAAAAACAGCATGAGAATATCAGCATGAAATTCTCGGGCCAGCAGTTTCCATTTCAGTGCACCGTCTGGGAACCCTGTGTGTTGGCGATGCTGTTACTTTGTACACGTATGGGTGTTGTCAAATGGAGTGTCTGTATGTTTCGTCAAGTTATAATGACTGATCAGCTCTCTTCTTCGTGGCCCCAGGCCGTGACACCGCAGGTAGGTGACACTTTTTTATCAATGTATTGGTGTGAATGACGCTGCCTAGGAAGGGCCGTTTTTCGAATCGTTATACATTAAACTGCCCAATTTCACACTTGCAATAGTACACCACAATGCAACTGCCCAAACTGAAAGGTAACTGAGCCAGCTAACAAAATTCAAAGCATGAACTCACCTCTTTCATCCTTCTCTATAATGCCACTCACAGCCTGCAAAAAGAAAGATTGAAATGAACGAATAACAGACGTCAAGTTTGTTATAATAATTGGTTCTACAGAAGAACACACACAAACAGTCCATGTATTTGGAGTGCTGCAGCGAAATGAACACCCACGTACGCCGTGCATGTCCTTGCATAGTAAAAGATATTCATTCGAACAGCAGGCGCTGATGCCGTAACAATCAAAGCAGAAAAGGCTATCTAACTTTCTTTTGCAAACTCCATAGGCTGTATACAGACAACCCGTTGACAAGTGACCTGCACAACAGCACTGATTTTAAATGTCCACTAGTATCAGCCAAATGTATCTTGATGACTTTCGTGCCTTAACAAGTACATCTGTAGCCAGCAGTTGTGGAGTCAAAATCACTAATACTTCAAAGCTGCATATCGTTAATGCTGGAATCGTAAAGAATGGTTCTATTACGTGCCACTTTCAAGTAGGTCCCCCTAGTAGCCATAAAATAGCGCCACATCGTGGTAATCAGCCCTAACCACTTACGCAAAAAACTTGGTGGCATTTAGGAAGTGCACTTGCTGAAATCTGACGCTGCACGAAGGTAGGAATGAAACGATATGGACGCTGCATTAGAGTCTCCATGCTTCGGTGGAAGCTTTTTGCTACATGCCACATTTTTTTGGGGGCTGTGAGACATGGTGAGCTGTGCGTAAAATACGGGGTGGCCCCGGCATGCCCTTTTCTCCTGCTTGACCGTGATGCCTCTAGACTGATACGAGGAGCAACAAGAGTCACCTGCACAGCCCTACTTCGCACGAAAATTCGGGAAAATCAGTGATGTAAGGTGAACCAAACACCCAAACAAATACGATGGAACGGAGAACACACAAGGCGCTGCGTGTGCCTTTCTTCCTATAGCCCTCATCTCAATGTTGCACCCATTTCACAATCAAGCGTGGACCCTTTCACAAAAGGCTACACCACTAATGAAAACAGCCATGGAAGGAAGGAAGGAGCCTCTTCACTCTCTCGTCTTGCCTTGGCACAAGCATTACTATAAATGATGACTATCACACGAGTAATGGGCAGGACATTAGAAAGAGCCGTACAAGACTACGGATCCATCATTTTGGTGACAATGCACTTCTAACTTGGCGGAGCATTGTGGCTTGTTTTACAACCACACTCACATATGTTAAAAGCCGCAGTCGCGACGAACGCACAATTCAGGGGAACCTAAGTATCAGAAAAATTCAGACAACCTAAACATTGTGACTTTAGAATTTCAGTGTCAGTGGCCATTTGCTAGAAACTGTCGAGCAATACGTTTAGCTTTGGTAACGCCGCATATTAGTTCTAGGAAATGTTGCAGTGCCTCTGATGCTGCTGCTATTTATGAAGATAAGCTGCAGTTAAAGCACAATCTGAGGATGCTTGGTATTGGTAAGACTTTTGGCATGACATCATCTTCGTATTGCTTTTGAGGCTGTAATTTGTGGCGAGAAAACCATTAAGCAATGTTTAGCATTTTATTTCTGTGCTCAATCATTTTATTAAAACAAGCAAGTAGCATTCATCTGAATGATGCAGCATTCTATCACCAACGGAGAAAATGTTAGGTGATGCTGTCAGTTTATTTCTCAGCGACAACAACAAAGCAGAAATCTCGTGGCACCAGCTATGCACCAGACAAATATGACGCATTGCACACATATGTTTGTCACATAAATGTGCCACCGGAAATGTGAGATTAAGATATATGGCTGCATTATGTAGCCATCATAATACTGATCCGGGACCCTAAGGTAATGTGATACGTATAACTTGCTGTATATGTGTATTCCCGACAACATGAGCAGATAATCACAAGACCACGTTAGTATAGCTGCAGCTTTCTGAAGAAGAACCGTCCAGCAGCCATATTTTTCGGTCGCCCTTTCTACCCTCCCTTACACAGTCACTCCCTCGTCCTCACAGCCAATGGCCGCACCATTCAAATGCAACAGAAACCACAAGGGCTCTTCCATTGTTTGCTTCTGATCGCCCTCTCAGTGAGTTTCGCAATGCAATCAGCAGCACACAATAAGACCAACCCATTCCCTCTCGACAACACATCGTCATCTCGACACACTTGTCTTTCATGTGTCAACCAATCAAGAGCTTTATAAACAGGACATTGACGATCTATCAAGCAAGTTGCAACGTCACGGCTGTTGAAATGTCACAACACAAGATAAAAAAGAAGACATAAAAGGACATGTCGTCTGCAGAAACTGCAGGCATGACTTACGATAGACTCGTCTTCAAGCAAAAAGTCTGGAAAAAACTGCAGCAACACACAACTCATGGGTAACACATGTTAGTAGGTGCGAACCCCATACAACATGACGACAGAGTGTAGCTCCAGACTGGAATAAATGCAATCTGTTGAGTGCTTGTACGAGGATTACAGGAATAAGTACTGCTGAGATGGGGACTAAAGTTAAGCTGGGCAAACACTAGCTCTAGCACACTCATCAACAATTTAAAGGGATGCTAAAGTCAAATAACAATTTATGTCAGAGTGAAAGCTCCATATATGATGTCTAAAACGACAGTATTATCTACAGCAGTGCCCTATGTACCGAGAAATTAAGGTAAATGCACGAAGACACATGCGCCACAAGTAGGACAATCGCAAAATGATCCCGATGGCATCGTACTTGCCGCCTAAAATTCATCACTAGTAATAGAACTAGCTGAACTAAATTAAGACTCTTTCATGCATCAAGAGACATGATAAAATGCTGCTTCTTCGTTTATGTTTGATTCATGGAAAAAACAACCACCGGACATTACTATAGGCAACTGTGTGAGCGGTTCAAAAGTCCAAATTTTACCTGGTTAAACTGGACAGGTCATGCCACCTAGCAGGACCCAGTTGAACTAGGCACGCTTACCCTCTTTGAGGCTGAAGCTAAAAATTGTTCAATGGCCATAGCTGCTGTGGCTCTTACTACTTTCCCTCTGCTGCTACTAGTGTTTACCGCCACGCAGTAAAGCCAGGCAACGTTATGCACGGCGACGTGAGACCACAATTTCACGCTAGGAATTTGAAGTGCACTAATGCGATGGGGACCTCTAAAATGTTATTTTACTTGTAAATGCCGTATTTACTCGCGTAATGAACCCAGTTGCATAATAACTCCGGCGCCCCCACCATGGTGCTTGAAAAAAAAAAAGTCTCCTTTTTCATGTATCAGTTCATTTTATTTCGGTGAGAAAGCCAGTGCCATTTAAGATCAAAACAACATTAAATTACGCCATTACATCACAAAATAGCGACACAATAAAAGTTAAAGTATAGTCTAAGAGCTATGCTAAACACTTGCGAGTGTGCACGACGTCAAGCAAAATTTAAAAGCCGCGTCATTTGTGGCAGTGCGCCATCCTTGAACGCAAAGAAATTTTTTTGCTTATAGCCCCACGCAAGCACATGTAGCAGCGTGAAAATAAAGAGAAACAAAGGGCAACCTGGTGCAACGACGCGGTTCACTCAAAAAGCTACAGCATGCATGCACCGAAATCTGACGATGCGTTTTTGATGTATAGTTTCTCGTAGTGAACTTTTATTGTATGCTGTGCAGAGCTTGATCGGCTGTTTTTAATGTTGATCGAGTATGCTCCAAAGCATGAGAACCGAGTGGCTGGACGATACTTTGGCGTCGATCTGTGTGTGGTTGTTACAGGAGAAAACAGTTTCGGGCTACAAAAAAGGCTCGTCACTCATTTTGCAGGTGAAAGCAAGGACAGTCTTTTCTTGTGGAGAGCAAAGTTCTCGAATAGGGCCTCCATATTACTGCCTCTGAACCGAAGGCCAGTATCGGTTGAACAGCAAGTTTCTTAATACCGTCATGCGAAATTTCTATCGTTGTAACCTCCTTGTCTCTTTTTTTTCTCCTGCGTAACGAGCCCTCTTCACAAATTGGCGCCTTATTGAGACTTTACTAAAAGAAAAGGGGGGTTCATTACGCGAGTAAATACAGTAAGCACTTTCTTGGCGAAAGATCAACACTAGGACTGCTATTTCAGCAATCAAGATCGGCTTAATATATGCCTTTTGTGTCCTTTTAAACGTAGGAAGTGTGACAACACAGTGGTGTAATCGCATCCCTCAGCAGTCTCTCACAAAAAGCTGAGGCTCTTTCATGTAATTCAGATTACCATGAAATCCCGAGCAAGCCCCCCCCCTGCTGCCAAAGATTATTTGACAAAATTTGGTACGGGTGCTTTTACTCGGTCATGGCGCAAAATTCAATATGGCAATGAAAAACTGCCAACAATAAGAAATGCACACATGTGCTTCTAACGGGATGGTTCATTGGATACCAATCATTCACTGTTTTCATTCGGCCTCATCAGACTTTTATAAAAACTGCGAATCAAACAACGAAAATAGTGAAAAGGGAGAAGAGGTCGCATATTTAAAATTTTCCCAAAGAAGGGAGGGGGGGGGGGGGTTGCTCGAGATTTTACGGTAGGCTTAAGAATATGCATGAACAGATGCCCTTGATACCATAACACAGGCACCATAACTTTTATTAGCACGTTTAAAATTTGGGCTTGTTGGTACAATATGTACCAACAACCCCAAACGCATATTCGTGGAAGGTAGCTGAGCACTGTGCTGCAGGTGAAAGGCACCTCAATCTGACGTGATATAATGATTCTTATCCACTGTTGAAACGGACACCAAAACAAAAATTGGTGCACCTGGCACTCGTAAACGATAGTTTGGCTTTAAAACAGTAAATGGTACGATATAAATTTGTCCACTCAAGGTGTCACAACTTCAATTAAAATGACGAACGACATCACAGGTGCTAAATCATCATGAAACACCACATTCTTGCACACCTTGCAATTAATTAGGTAGTGTGTGCCTACGAGTGCTCAAGGCACACTAAAAAGAGAGAGAAATAAACGTTTTTAGAAACAGCGTTCTGAACGAGACCCAGTGTCACCCTAAGGTGGGAAGATTGCCTAGTCCGGGAACCATCTGGCTTCGACTGCCCTCTTGGCCCTGGCAATCAGTTCACAAGTACAAGTTCACAATCCTGAAAACACCACTTTTAATGCCGCATAACCTTTCGCAAGCAAGAAAAAGTGGGGAAAAAAAAAGCACGTGGGTACGCCACCTTGAGATTCCCGCATTGAACACCATGATGTCGTAGATATTGAAGGTGTCTCCTGGGTCCTACATAGCTTCTAATTGATAAAAATGAAGTACTTTGTCATATGTGGGTGTCACAAATTTAGCATACGAAGTTTTAGAAAATTTCATTGGGCCATTGTTGTGAAAATACGAAAAATACATTTTGAAATCGCTGACCTCACGCATGAAGATTTCAACGTAAAATTTTGAAAATGAAATTTCTAATTTCATTTTCTCCACTAATGATGAACTTATGACAGTTAAACTAGTGGCATTAGAATTCTCAGAGTACAATTTGTCGATCTGAACCAAGGCCTGTGTCAACTCAGAATACGCCTAGTTATCGAGAGCACATTTTTCCTGCGAAATCAACAAAGAATTAAAGATTCAACGCTACTGTTTTCAAAATATTTTGTGATCAAAAACAGCCCGAACATGCAAAATAGCTTCGACACAATAACAGTTTGGGTTGTGGGTTTTTTTATGCGAAAGTGACTCTAGATACGATGGGCGCCATGGCGAGGGACTCACGCAATTTCAATCACTTGAGGTTTTCTTATGTGCACTTACATTGGGCTGGCCTGTAGCCCCTCATCTTGTTCGAGAATTGACTCCTGAGGCGTGCATGAAACTCAAGTGTTTTGAATAGGCAGACTAGCATTGTAATCACTCAGCCATCCTTGCAGATATCTGCCACGCTAATGCACTAGCATTCAAGGGTAATGTTTTAATACAGATGCTCTATTTCTTCATTTTAGACCACATAAATCAAACTTTTTGCACAAAAGAAGTACCACGTGAAGTCTTATGACCGATCTTTCAAGAGGCTACACTGATAAAACCGGCGTCTTTAGTTTTCCTTTATATACGCAAGTAAATCTGATGCAGGAACAAAACTGTAAATTTTGATATAATCACTGAACAATTTTGTGATGAATAAGAAAGTATAACAGGAGCAGGCATAATGAACAACAGAGAAACCGCAAACTTATAAACATTACACAAAACAAATGAACTTACAGCCATGGAAGTGATGGAAGACTTTGAAAAGAGACGTTCGGCTTCCTTGAACTTGCGGTTCCTTTTGTCTGCCTTGCTGTTCGTGTTCCTGCTTAGAGCAGGCACAAATGAAAATTTTTTTTTTGTTTATTTTAAAAGCTCTATTTACTTGAAGTGTAATCAAGACAACAAAAGTTTAGTACCAACAATATGGTTCAGCTGACGATAATCAACTCTTTCTCAGGGCACCCTTGTCATTAATGCACTTCAAACCTGTGTTAATGTTAAAATGTTGACAACCTACTCCAGGCACATACATTGGATTTGAGAATCATAGATACGAAACTTTTTCACAACGAAAATCAGCTGCAACAAACACATTAAATTGCAAAAAAATACAGCAACAGAATTAAGCTTTCAGTTAAAAGCTAAAATGCAAAGCATAACTCTGTAATTATTTTCCTCTAATTTAGTGTCTTGGTGCACGGCAGCGGTCACCACTATAGACATTTCAGCTGTTCACAAACAGAGGTCCTGGACGGCTTTCGGTTTGGTGTGTTGGCATAGCCTCATAGTATTGGCAGGGAACAAAAGCCTTAGCGAGTGGCCTACTCATTTGTGACAGTTTTCTCCCGGTGTCTCGCCAAGTATTTCAAATACAATTTCTGTTATACTACACACAACATTATAAGAGCAAGTCCTTAGCTCTAAGTGCCTTCCTATTACAGGAAAGTGGAAAAAGAGTCTTTTCTTACTCTAGCACAACTTAAGAAACAAGCTTTCTGCTTGTTTCTTACGTGACCAGAAATTTCTTGAGTAGCGAAAAATGCTCCTGTTATCGCAATGTTGAAACCTACCGAAAAAGCAAACAATCACGCGAAATGCTTGCATCATTTAGACACTGTGTTAAAGTGAAAACACCAAGTCAAGCGCACGCATATTCGTAAGAGTCAACGGCAAAATGTGACGAAGAAAGGAATGTTTGATGGTTGTTGAAGAAATGTCAATAAAAAAAAACGTACCCCAAGTGAAGTATAACACACATACAAACGCATTAAGCATACTACGGCCTTTGTGCCACAATGGCCCATGCCCACAAATAAGGAATTCAGGGAAAACGAGAAGGCTTCCGAATATAATGCGTGATGGGGTTCACGCAATATAATTGACATAAGCGCTGTAGATATGTGTTTTATAGCACTGTTCAGAGTTTCACGGCGCAGAATGGAGATGTGCTATCTGGCACCTATGTCGGTTCAAAACTCTAAGCTAGAGAACTTGGTGTGTCTGACCAGGTACTTGAAGACATAGGGCCAGTTAGCCAAAATGCCACGGTAGGGGTCATGTTTATGTTAGCATCGAGAGTGTGCAAATAGCGAAATTTCATCTGCCATCAAATAGCACCGAATAGGCCTACAATATGAATAGTGCATACACAAGAAACTTGTATCCCCAGTTGTGGCAAGACAAAGAAAAATCAGGGACGGTACGACATGCTGACAGCTTGATTATGAACTTGTTCGGGGTGTCTTTTTTTTTTTTTCAGTTTTGATGGGCAAGCGTGTTGACAGAAGAGCCACCATTCCTGTTAGCAGCACAACGAAAGCTAACAGAGACGGTATTGATAGCTAGCATTTTTTTTTGCCCATGGTCGCACAATGCAGCTTGCTTGACAACAGTACTGCCGTGCTTCATTGCCATGGGTGCTCCAAGCCCAAGAAACTTCCAGGTAGCATTTCACAGCAGCATTTTAACTGCACAGTGAAACTATGGGAGCTTGTGAGCGAGTGGTTCGGTGCAGCAGTGACAACTGCACAACTTGAAAAATTTCCATATGTGAAGCTAATCATCGTGGGTTTCAAGGGGCCAGAGTCAGGACGTTATACAGCGTTCGAAACACACTCCACTGAACTATGCAAGAAGTCTATGCCTTCGTTTCGGAAGTCAAGTTTCGAAGGACTAGATAGTTCTAACATGTGTCTTTCTAAGTGCGGAAATGAGGCAACCTCCTTTAAACTGAACATGCACATGCTTTTGAACTAGGATATTAATGAGTTTTAACGAAAGGCCTACTCTAACAATAGCCACTCCTTTCTAAAAAAAGTTGAACCATTAGCCTTTGTCGCATTTAAAATGTTTGCCCTGTCGTGTTATTCAATTCAATACTTACATATTCACACACTCCTACTTGGCATGCTTTTACATAGTACAACGAAACTGCTAGCGCTTTGAACCATTCAAATTGATTTCATTTGCATATAATAGCAACACAGCCCTCACTAGGAAAGGCTACAATAACAAAAGTATTAAAACAAAGATGGCCCTCTGCAAAGACTGTTTTTGTTCACAACATGACATGACTTTTCCTACGCATGTGTACAAACACATGTGTAGGCTCGTATGTCATACAGATTCACAGCCACTGTGTTTTCAGTGCTAGGACTGGCTACGTGTGCAGTGAATTACCGTCAGAAGCATGCGGAACTTAGCAGATCGTCTTTTTCCGCGCGCGCGCCCAGCTCACAGAGCGAACATATTGGAATACGAAAGTTCACTTGCTAAACTGTTCCACTTCGGGTGCTTGCGAACAGCACAACTCGAACAGATTACAGGCGCAATGACAGTTGTAGCCACAACCCCGCAATCAACTGACGATATCAACTGACGACGCAATCAACTGCGATCACAACGCAGCAAACTATCACCAACAAATACGATTGTACGGCTCAAATCAGCAATGTACACAGAAGAGCGCCGAACGAAACTACTCACTTATTCGGTGCCAAGTACCGATCCCAGCCTCGTATTATGTTTCCATAGAGCTGCGTGTCCTCCAGGTAACTGCCTTCGAATGCATATATTTGCCGTTCGAGGTTCGCCAGTGTATCCTGCATATGAAGAGCACGTGTCAATGAAACAGCACGCGCGCCGTGTGTGGCGCGCGCGTTTTGAAATTCCCTTCTTTTACATCACTGGCGTAGCCAACACTGCCTCTGAGTGGCAAGGTAAAAGGTTAGGCTCCCAACTTAGCTAATTCCCAAAGCGATCCGTCTCCTCGAAAGGTGAACTCGCAGAACGTAAACAAAAACACGTGCGGTCCGATACACGCCAAACGCAACCCCATGTTGTGAGACAGCTCCCGCCATATTGAAAGGGATCGAGGGGTGAGGCGTTTACATCATCGCCGAAAGGTTTTAAGTGCAGTAAGCCTCGCGAAACGACTCGGTAAGATCTCATAAGAAAGTTGTGAGAGTTACGTACCGCGATTTCGGCTTTTCGCTTCACAAGTTCGGCAAGTTCAGCTCGCGTATCCATGAAGCTGCTGCTTTTGGACGCCATTTTTGTTGTTTGTGTAGCGCCGCACCAAATAACTGTACCGCACTAAAATTTTATTCATAATGTTCTTTTTTGAAGTAATAACACAAGCCCCAAAATAAAAAAATTTTTATTTTGAAAACGTTTTACATTAAAGTTTTGACTTTTTGTTATTTAAGAAAGTGGCAACTTTGGTTTCGGTTTTGATTTTTGTTTTGGGAACATGAGTTCGTGGGAACACGAATTCCTCCGTGGGGTCATACTAGTTCATGGAAATTCGGCAAGGTTTGGCCGGGGTAGTTTAATGTGCTGTAAGTATCTGCGAAATTAATGTTGTCTGACACTGCATGTAGGATATAAACGAGCTTCAGCATGTAAATGGCAAGTAAAGTTTGACATAAACGAATGAGTGAAATGTAATCTATTGATTATTAACAACAAGGACATATTGTTAGAATAGCTGCAATTTGAGCTGGTTTGTATTGGTTCTTCATAGGAGTTAGCCATCCACTCAATTAAATAAAGTGGTCGAAAAAAAATTCACAAAAGCCAACTATTTGGTAGTTACCATTTGACATTTGTGTTCTTGATTTTCACTTCTCTTTTTGTCATGTCTGCATGTATAACCCTCTGTAACACAGTGCCCTCTTTAGACACGTGACTTTCTTGAGCCATTTCTGTGAACTGTTAGAAAAAATAGACCACAAACACTGAAATGATGGTAAATTAAGCATTCTTGTTGTTTAAAGTTTATTTATACCGCCTCTTGTTGAAATATTTTGCTGCACACGATTGGTTTGTGACGGCAGTACTGTGTTGGAGACAGGCAGGGTGTGCCCCAGTAGGAATTCAAAATACTTTTACATTTTTAGACTGGTCACTCTCACCAGATGACCATTGCATGTGATTTGAGTGGGTTGTTCAATACGGTTATGAAAAAACATAGCATAACTCACTTCATTATATTTACATGATTAGTTAGAATAAACTGACATATTTCACAAAAACTTCTTATATTTATAACACTTCTGCTTACTTATATTTGGTCTCCAGAACGTTGGCATCAAATTATATAATTTTCTCGCAATTATAGACAGCCTATCATAGCACGGGTAACAAAGGAATAACTACTCAACCAAACGCAACAGCCTTTGTTAGAACCATTTTCATAGCTGGTGTTTCTGCAATTTTCACATCTGCTGTCTGCCACATGAATAAGCTTATTTCTATCATACTCGGTCTTTTTAAAAATACTGTGGTTAAAAAAATTTTATAGATGTGCTAAACTCAGTGACAACTTGTCTTGGCATTGGAGCAAAAGCTACAGAGCCAAAATTACGGGCATCCTACCGCCGGTGAATGTAGTTCCACAATAGCGCCCGTATCTTCACCCTGAAATATAGATAGAAGTTCCCCATTTATTTTTAACGTGGAGCAATTTGACACAGGTCGTAGTTCCCACCATTAGGATCATTGTATTTACTTAAATTTATTCGTTGTGACTTCGCATTTCCGAGCGCGCAAAGAAATCCCACCTTTTTATGTGCACCTCAAACGCTAAGTGACGTCTGCATCTATACATGAACCGCTGATGGTGCGCCCCCGTCACTTTCCATAGCGTGCCGAGACGCACGCCAAAACGGACTACTTCGCGTAGTGCTACATGTGCAGAAACTCCACCTCCGTATCTTTCCGTGAAGTGCCAAGAAAAGTTGTTGCTTAGTATAGCAATTAATTTCACTCATTCTTTTGTTTTGTGTAATAGTTTATATTAATCTAGTCTAATAAAGAGCCAATTGTATCACTCACCGTTTATTCAAGTGCAAGCATCAGCAGCCAATCTGTCAAACTTATTTTCTTTCTTTTTCTGCGGTAATATGCTGTGCCTTTCTTTTGTTCAAAAATTCACATGACAGTGCAATAATATTGTACATTTTTTCTTTCCATCAGTTCTTGCAAAAGTGCTCACGCAGGACGAGCATTTAAAAATGCAGCTAGCTGCACAGAGTGCTGTTCTGACAAGAATTGAGCATCACCTAAATCAAGACACAAGAGTTGAAAATGCCATGGATGTAAATGAAATGCCCCTCTATCCTGCTACAACTGAGGGAGAATTGACACTTGAAGCTAGCATCGAAAACAACGTCATTTTTGCTGCACTATTGAGTGTTGCTTGTCATTGCAGGTGCTGCAAGCTGGTTCAACAATTAGATAATATGTTGCTTCAAAAGTACTGACATTTCTCCAGGACCACAAGAGTATTGTGTGAATCTCTTTCAACATCTTATCATTCAAGGTGAAAGAACTGGGCCAAATTGGAGGTTGTGACATAAGCACGACCACGAAAAAGTAATGAAGAGGTTTCTTCATGACAGTGTAGCGGTACTGTACAGCTATACTGGAAGAAAAGGCAAACCACGGGCAGCAGATCTCTACATTGTTCGTCTTGTATTTGGTAAGGGGACGCAAATCTTTTATAAAGGGACGCAAATTTTTTATGTCCTGGTGTACTTATTACTGTTTGTGAAAAAAAAAATAATGGTCCTGGTTGCTATGCATATTATTTCCAGCTGCTGTACGTACAACACGCAAGGCAACAGATGCTGAGATCAGCCACGTGATTGGTTACGCTTTGCCAATGCAAGGCTTACTGTGTCCAAGGCAAGCAAAAACTTAACGTTTCTTATTTTGCATCATATAGCCGAGCTATCACTCTTTTTTTCTTTGCCATCTTTAGGTTTATGGCGTAACGTTTTTACAAGCATTCCTGTGTTCTTTTGTAAGAAAGAGAAAGTGGTATCAAAAGAAGAAAAAATGCTGCAGCACATAAAAACAGCTTGTGGTAATCAGTTTCATGCGAAGCAGTCTACGAGTGGTTGTGCTGCATTTTTTTGCTTTAAGGTAAATGTACAAGTTGGGTAGATGTGTTTTGGTCAGTGCAGTAGTTATGTGCACATAGGGGTCCTACTAGGCATGTTGGCTACACCAGCTTTGTTTATTGTGTACAGCTGGATCCCTGGGTTGTTAGATGACTGTATTTTTCCCACGCCAAAGTTACCTGCTGCCTTGTCTTCAGTGATGAGTGATGACAGGTTATACCGCTTATTTTTTGCTGTCTGGGTAGAGCACCAGTGAAAAGCACAAATTTGGATGAAAGCAGTTGGTCTGGATTGTATGGGGCTGCCATGCTGCTGCAGGTCATCTTCGTTAGGGAGGCCATTGCGCTTACCAGCTGGTAATGGCTACAGTAATTCAGAGTTTGCTAAGTACATGCCAAACGTACTTTTTATGGCTGTAGCATGTCATGCAAGAAGCACAGCTAAAACCCTTGTATATGCTTAATGAAACAGTTATGCCTGGAACTATATTATATATACTGCACAAGTCTACTGGCAGTGTACTCCGCGTAGCTCCGGCAGCGCTGCAGATAGCTGCTTCCATTCAGTGATATAGGGGTCAAAAACTTTAAATATTGAAGTGCAGTCATGTGTAAGCAGGCAGCAAGTGACAACATATACCATCAAGGGAGTAGGGAGTACAATGACACTATCAAATGTGATGTGGACAAGGAAGGTAGCACTATTGCAAGGCAGTGCTGACAGCGATCATTATTGGTGGTTGGACGAAATTCGGGTTTTTAAATACAGCTGGTGCGAACAAGTACTTTACAGAGCACTTACAAGGTTACGTGCATTAATTTTGCCCCGCCGCGGTGGTCGAGTGGCTAACGTACTCGGCTGCTGACCCGCAGGTCGCGGGTTCGCATCCCGGCTGCATTTCCGGTGGAGGCGGAAATGTTGTAGGCCCGTGTGCTCAGATTTGGGTGCACGTTGAAGAACCCCAGGTGGTTGAAATTTTCGGAGCCCTCCACTACGGCGTCTCTCATAATCATATGGTGGTTTTTGGACGTTAAACCCCACATATCTATCTATCTATCTATCTATCTATCTATCTATCTATCTATCTATCTATCTATCTATCTATCTATCTATCTATCTATCTATCTATCTATCTATCTATCTATCTATCTATCTATCTATCTATCTATCTATCTATCTATCTATCTATCTACGTGCATTAATTGTGCAGTGGTGGGACTGGTTTTCGTTGTCTTATCAAAAGCATCTGCAATGTTTATGCTGCCACTAAAGCTATTTTGTTTATTTATTATCTGCAGTAATTCCTGAATATTCCTTGTTTTTGCAGAACAAAGTGCCGCGGCCTGCTTATTGATCACAGCCAAGCCTCGGATGACCATCGAGGAATAAAGTATATACGGGCATCACGCAATAAAGTATATTTGCAACCAAGACATGCAGTTGAGCTGAGCTAATGCTGCCAAACAGCTGCAAAATGTAGAAAGTCTTCAAAACTGCTGATTAGAGTGCTTCTAATCAGTCTGGTTCAGTCCATGCATATATATACAAGCCGCTAACACACATGCGTTCCATCAATAATTTAATGCACTTTAGAATACCCTACTGCATGAAGACATACTCCAGCTAAGATTCGCAAGTTTGTCTTTTCAGTTAAAAATACTTCTGACATTGGGCCTGTTTTCAGCGTTGCATGAGCATAATTTACAATAATTCTTAATATTTTATAAATGTTATGGGAGTGTAATTTGTAACGTTACTCTTGCGTTTTGCTTAACGTTATGCAAACATTATCATAACGTTTTATTAATGTTTACATCATGTTCAAGATAACGTTATCGCTACGTTTATTCAGAACTTTAGCAGATCATTTAGTTTTGATGACATTAACAATGTTGTTTCAACATTGAAGCTGAACGTAAAAGTAACATTATTATAGTGCTACTTGGGTGGGATTCTGTCCATGTACGCCTGACCTGGCGATAAACTGCTCACGAAGGATTACGCAGGAATCAGGAAGGAATTATTTGGTTGATTGGGCTAAAATTTACTGAAGCTCTCAGAAGGGGGAGAGTAGAGAGCTTCTTGAAATATCGCATTCTGAAGTACGTTTGAAAATCGAGGAAGCCAGCGAAACATGAAAACTCCGC